TGCAGAGCTGCAGGAACAGCAGGAAATGGTCAAAATGAGGCGCAGAACGTCACTGTCGCTGCTACAAACACCAACTGCAGGTCCCTGCAGAGGGGGAGTCCTGGAGCCATGGGGGTCCCACAGCCTGCAGGACACAGCAGGTGTCAGGTGGGGATGTCTGCAGTGAAAGCATGTGGGAATGACACAGAGGATATAAGCCTCTGTGCTCTGAAGCCCAATTAATTCAGGCAATAAGCAGAATTTCCATTGCTGGGGACACTCCCTGTAGTTGTTTCCTGGAGCCCCGTAGAGCAGTTGGGTTTGTGTCCAGCAGGCAGATTTGGTGGTCCATCCATCTGATTTCGTAAAGTCATTCGTCTGTTCTCATCTGCCAAGGACACTTTTATGATGCCAGTCAGGGATAAGTCTCTCCAAGTGACAGACTATTGTGTAGTACAATCCACACGTGGTTCCTGCAGGGCTCAGCCTGTGGCTTGTTGGTTGGTTGTTACTGTTTTCTCACCTCTGGTAAGTGACAGCCCCTGCAGTGTCCTCCTGCAATACGGCACTGCTGGGTGAGGCAGCCTCAGCCAGTGGGCTGCTGGGGAACGGAACCCCAGCCCAGGGCCAAGGGCATTCATCCAGCCCTTATTACTGGGGCAAAGGGCAAAATACCAGTGGGGAGCAGGGCAAGGGGTGCTTTTGCTTTGCTGCCTGGGGAGACTCACCGTGACCTCCTGAGGAAGGGTTTGCTCCAGCACACTCCCAGGCACAGCACCCCTGCTCTGGCCAGTCCCTCCCAGCACTGCTCAGAGCATCACTGTGGCCAGGGCTGAGCACTGTTTGTCACCTACTGCTGCCCCTTGCCCCATTCCATCAGGGACCCCAAAGGACATCATCTCTGCTCGAGCACAGACACCTGATGGGCAACATCCCCAGCACGTCTGGACAGTGAGACCCCTCTGACGAACCTGCTCGGCACAGAGCAGGAACAGCCAAGCACTGGGAGTGCTCAGGCATCACCTGGGGAGCAGCCTAGGAGCAGACCCAGGAACTGGGGAGGGGATCCCTGCTGAGCACTGGTGGGACAGGGCAGCTTGTGAAATGCTGTCAGTCTTCAAGCCAAGCACTGACTGCACCCCATGCCTGGTGCTAAACCTGCCCTCACCTGCCAGGATTCCTTCCTGGGCTCCAGCCAAACTCTGGGAGATCAGAGGCGTTGGTTCCTCTGCCCACTGCAGGGCAGGAGCGGCAGCAGGGCAGGGGCAGGGGGGGCTGCTAAGGGGCACAGGGTCTGGGGGAGCAAATCAGTTCTGCAGTGGGACAGGCAGGGTCTGGGGGAGCTGTGGGTTCTGCAGTGGGACAGACAGGGTCTGGGGGGGGCTGTGGGTTCGGCAGTGGGGCAGCTGTGGGTGGGCTCTGCAGGCAGTGAGAGGGCAGAGCCGCCCGCCTGGCTCGAGGCAGACACTCTCCTGCTGCCTGGGGCATGGGGCAGCTGCGCATCTTCTCCCACGCAGGAGTTCAGGGCGTGCCCTTCACATCCAGCCTCCTGGGTGAGGGTTTGGGCCCCTTTCTCCTGCTTCTTCCCCTAGGCTGAGAGCAACCCTGGCTGATGAGTTGTTATTTTTCAGTGCAAGAAGGTGGTCTGACACTGACCCACCTACACCCCCAGTCCCCAGGGCTTGAGCTGAGGATGTTCCCATTTGTCCCTCCAGCATGCTTTGGCCAGCCCCTCTACTGTTTTCCACTTGAAGAGCTAACTGATGATAATTGTATTCTGTTTCTCCTTCCTGAGCTAATTTTCTGACTCATTGTGGTTTCTTTTTGCTTGCTTTTCGTTAGTCTAGTTGGCATGTTGTGGTTTCTTTGTTCATTATGTGATGGGGCTATATAAGGGGATTTGCCTCTGGAATTCAGGTATCCCCTGCGCTCTGTTCCCTGTTATCGTCTTCATCAGCAGCTCTGCTGAAGGCACTCAGCTGCATTCGGCATGAGCTAACCTTCATAAATTCGGGCTGTTAATCACTTCGACATGTCTCACTGGATCTTTGCGCACTGATTTGTGTGTGCTCAAATAGTTTCCCTGAAGTAGACTTGTGGTGAGTCATTGTTTCAATAATCTGCCCTTCAAACTCTTGCTCAGGGTGCTGCCCGCCGAGGGGAGCTGTGCCGGGCACCGCGGGAGGGCTCCGTCTGCAGGCAGGGCAAGGGCACCGCATGGCACAGGATTCCTGGGTGATTCTCCTCCCACCCCACACTCTGCTCCAGCTCCGGCCTCGGGGCTGCTGCTGCTGCTGCCCCATCCGAGGCAGGAACCAGCAGTGCAGTCTGGCTGGGACCAGCACACCCTGGCAGCGGGAGTCCTGCTCCTTGGAGCTCTCCCTTGGTCCCAGGGATCTGGGACACCCGGCTCCCTTCAGCACTTCCCGCAGGCAGCAGCAGGACTGGAGACAGACTCAGGAACGCCTAATTATCTATTTACCTGCTGAGCTGGCTCAGACTTAAGACTTGTTTCAGCAAAAGCCGAATCA